GAATCCCTTCCGACCAATGAGTTTTTTCTTTCTCGTAGACTTGAAGGAAATCCTTCCGGTCATGGGAGCAAGAAAATCCCAAACCCCCTCAAGCATGAGAGGTGGTTTGGGGCGCCGACTCCTTAAAAATCAAAAAAATTAAAATTAAAAAATAAAAAATAATTGGATGGCCGGCTCCCAAAGTCGGCCATCAATTTGGAGGAACAACTCCCACCCAATGACCCCTCAACCAAAATGGTATTTGTCGGCAAATCTTTGGGAGTCGTTTTTCCGACCCCCCCCTGGTATGAGGGGTGCTTTGATTCAATAATTGAAAGGTGGGGAATTGCTGTATTATCAATTGATTGATTCTTGTAGAGTGGAAGGCTTGGCAGATAAGTCTCCAATCATTTCCAAGACAATGTATGTTTTGACTGATAAAACAAATAGAATGCTTTTTGGAAACAGCTACCTGGCGGTAGGCCTGTTGGACTTGGAGGAAGGAAGAAATAACATACATAATTTGATTATCACCACAAAAGTTAACAAACCAGGAGCTTTAGAGTGAAGGTGATATCAGCTATCTACACGATACGACTAATATGACCTAGAAAAATCACAAACCTAAGATGTTTAAGGTTAGTGCCAAGGTGGCGAGTGGTTTGAATGAAACAATTGATTAAATTGCTTATTCAGATACAGACCTTGAGAGTGAAGGTGATATTAGCTATCAACACAATACGACTAATATGACCTAGAACAATGACAAACCTAAAGAGATAACAAGGTTAAGACTTGAGACAATAAATGAGAGTATGAAATAGAAACCAACCTAAGATGTTTAAGGTTAGTGACAAGGTGGCAAGTGGTTTGAATGAAACAATTGATTGATTAAAGCAAAGCAATACAAAGAAAGAGAAGCTGCTTTATAGAGATCAATTAGGTTTCAGAGAAATCACTGCGGCACCAAATGAGCTAATGAATAAGCATATGCATAAAATAGAGAAAGTGAAAAGTGAACTAAAATAAGCTTAATAAAAATCAATGCTCACTAGACATTGGGTGACATCAGTCAGCATTGATCATTGTTCCATTGCAGCTCAGCTTCAATTGCAGCCCAACTACAATGGACCGTTTGTGTGCTACAGGGGGGGGGGTAAAACTGGGTAGCATGCTGAACTTATGCTGATGTCACCCAACATCATGTGATCATTGTTTTTTCCTGGCGCATGGAAGACTTGGAGTAGACATCAAAACCAAAATTTCCTTGTACAATTTTCCAACAACCCTATTACCTGCTGCAGGCCCTTCCACTAAAAACATGATGTGCTTGACCAGCATGTATAGCAGTTCAACTTCCATCAATAGTGGGGTTTTCTCTTTTGAAGTTTTGTGGGTTGATTTCATGAAATTGAAAATCAATACTTGCATCCATTTCTGTCTTGATTACTCATTTTTTGCAAAATGGCCATGAGGCAAGAAGTTACACTATTCTGGCAAAGTGGCTTGTGTTCTAAGCACCAAAACCATCTAAAAACAGTACAAAAAAATGGAAATATGTCCAGCATGTAGCTGAAGACATGATCAAGATCCACAATGTACCATGTGTAGGTACCATTAATTTTGATAAAAACCTGCTAAACAGTACCTTTTGGTCCTATTTTGGCACTTCATCCCCAAGAACACCACTAAAATATGGCACATGTGAAATTTTAGTATATGTAAAATAAAGCTCATTGCATTCTGCTATCTAATCTGTCTTCACAGGCTGTCATCAAGCAGTCTACCTATCCCATTTTCATTGAACAGCAAAAGTCAAATTTGGGCCCAATTTTGCTTGTTTTTAAGAATTCAAACGCCATCAGTCATTCAATTATAAACATGAGGATCTGAAATATGAATGTTGTTACATGAAAGATAATAATCAAAGTTTATCATTCTGATTTCACAGATGAAAGCTGATGATTTTTAAGTGAGCTTTTGATGGGAGGACTTTTTCCCTGTGTGGGAAAACCCCACTATTTACTTGATTTTCTTGATAATTTGACAACTTTTGACTACATTACTATAACTATAAAAATAAGACCAGACTGAAAAAACATGTTAGAAAGAGAAAGACAAAACACAAGGAATAAAGAGAAAAACAATTAGAGATGTACCTGAGAAGATAGATTTGAATCGGGGTAGACACTATGTATGGCAATGAGAGACAACAAAGATGTACAATCATCCATCCACGCTTCAGCCCTCTTAGTCTAATCCAATTTCGATTCTCAATATCACTTGATCAGATGACCCTATACATCCAAAGCCACACAAACCCCAACCCTCTTTCTTTGATAATAATAAACAACAACAAGAAGACTGATTACAACCGAGATGAAGAGAATAACACACACACACAGACGACCCCACAATCCTAATTCACTGTTGCTGTTGCTCCATCGTCGACCGACAAGCAAGAAGGTTCATCCCCTTGATCGACAGGCCGAGTAGCAGACATCGCAGGAGCAGGAACAGGATCTTCTGGTGGTTGTTGGTCTTGAAGAAGAGGAGCAGCAGTAGTAGGGGTGACTGAGGTGGGAGCTTCTTTGTCGCTGCGGTCGAAGGCTTGGGTTGTACTTGGGTCTCCATCATCATTGACTTCTGTCCTGTCCTCTTCGAGCGCGCCATCCTTCATTCCGCCCTCGTCCATCTCCCCCACTTCGACTGCTGCCGCCTCACCTCCTCCTGCCTCGCCTGCTCCCAGTTCGCCTCCCACATCGACTCTTTCTTCCTCGGCTCCTCCCGCCTCGCCTTCTGCCACTTCGACACTTCCCTCCTCCACACCTTTGACCGCGCCTCCTGCCCTCTCGCCCGCACCTTCCACGACCGCGACGGCCTGTTTACCGACTGACTGATCAGCCTCGACTCGTCTGCCTTCGATATCCCACTCGACGATCCTGCGTCTGAGCTCAAAATTCTCGTGTCGATACTCGTCCACTAACTTGGCAAGATTCTCGAGCTTCTTTCGGCTCCTCATACGACAACTATTCCTATCATGACTTGTGTCCATCATCCTGGCGTCGTCGTCGTCGTCTGTGAGTGGTGGTCTTGAGTCAGGGTCTAGTAGCGTTCGTCCTGTACTGCGTTTCTTGAAACACTCGTTCTCGAGTTCCAGTCGATTGATGCGTTCCTGTTGACTCCTACAACCAACCCAACATCCATTTTTTTTTCCAAACAAACAAAAATAAGCGAAAGGGTTTCTTTTTTTTTTTGGCAACAAGAGAAGTGAGGTAAGGAAGAGGGGGGGAGAAAATAACACGGACAATAACTGCGCGCGGAGCTGTTGATTTTCGAGTTCGTTGCAGGAGGCCTGGGAGAGCCATTTGCGGGCCTGAGCACGCAGAGAATCGATCCTTGACCGGGCCTCTCTGAACCGTCTCAAATCGTCGTCCCTGTCATCCCACATGTGAACCGCCCTACCCCATCAGATTTTCCATCTGCAGATGATCTTTCTTTGTGTAAGAAGGACGGACCAAACTAGTAACGCGTTCGAGAGACTCGTCGTCTGCGTCTGCAGACTCTCCATCGTCCGTAGCTCGGGCTCGAGTAATGTCAATTGGTTCTTAAGCTCATGTGCCCTTTTTTGCACCAACCCCAACCACATGCAACGCAAACAAGTGTAAAAACAGATAAGCCCTCTCCCCTGCTTGACTCAAACACCATTCCTAAAAAAGAAACATACTCAGATTGGACAAACAACAGATTCTTATTCTGCAACTCGATGGCCTTCTCCAACTCGTTGATCTGATTCAACAGACTGAACTTAGCGCTAAGGAACGCGAGATTATCGTTCTTCAACGCCAGGTTCTTCTTCTTGATGAGCTCCTGATAGGCCACCTTGTTCTTGCTGGTGATCAGGTTCGAGCTCTGTTTCTCCTGCTCGCTCTCGTGCTTCTGTCGCAACTTCTTCCGCAACTCTTTGTTCATCCTTAACTATATCCAAAAAAAAAAATCTCAATGAGTTTCTTCTATCAAGAAAAAGAGAGAGAGAGAGAGGAAGGAAAGAGGGTTCGGTAGAAAAAGAGGAAAGAAAAAAGAAGATTAACCAAGTTTTGATTTTCAGCTTCAAGACCAGCACCGAGGATGTTCTGTTTATGGACCGAGCCGAGCTGCTGCAGATGCTGGGACTTGAGATAGAGTTCCAAATGGAGCTGAGATCTGAGCATCTGATTATCGGTCCGCAGCTGCTCGATCTGTTTCTGCAGACCGGGCTGGACTACGGAAGCTTGGGGGACTTCGGGAGGGTCGGAGAGTGGGGCTGGAATAGATGGCGGAGTGGATGGGCGTTCGAGCTGCTGTTCTTCTGGCTTGACAGTCGTCGACGAGCCCGCTGGGTCGGTCGATTTCGAGCCACGCACACACCAGCCCAACAGCTCGCCCACCTGCGTCACCTCATCCCGCGCTCCCAGCTCTCCTACTTCCGATGATGCAGCGACGATGAGGGTGCGTTCGCACTTCTCGATCAGCTCGGCGGGCTCATACATCTTGAGTCGATGGGCGATCTCCTTGCGTTCGCTCGACGGGGCCATGAGGACCAAGTTCTTGTTGAGTCGGTGTCTGTCCATCAACGGCTTCCCTCATCATCATCACCATCACACAAACAACACGTCAGCCTTGAATGGAGCAAAAAAAGGAGGGGAGTACGAGGGAGGGACGCACAAGGACTAAGCTCCGCAGCCGGTCCACGGGCGCCAAGGCTTCGAGCTCGGCACGACTGGACTCTTGCTGCAGAGCTTTGAATCGGTCATCGAGCTCGACCGGGCTAGGTTCACCATTATTATTAAGAGGGGGCGAGAAGGCGAGGAAGAGGTCGACGGGGTTCCGGAGGAAATCCAAGAAGTTACAGGGCGCGATGCCGTAGAGGAAGGAGAAGAGATTGAGGAGGGCGTTGTCGAGGGAGAGAAGGAAGTCGAGATGGATTGGGGGAAGGGGGGCGAGATTGAGGGTGTTGTTGTCCGGAGGGGCGTGTGCGGAGCAGAGGGAGCTGGCGAAGCCGAGGAAGAGGAAGGGCAAGTAGAGGGCGATCAGGCTGGAGACCCGGGGCAGGATGAGCAGGAGGGCGTCGATGGACAGCTTGAGCGAGCGTCGAGGAGGCCGGCCGGGGGTGGCCGATCCGGGCGGTTGAGGAGCAGCGATGAGCCGCAGGACCAGGTTGTTCAGCAGCCCGGTGGCCCGGATCGTGTGGATCGAGTATGGCTGGTGGCTCAGGAAGTCCAGCAGGAGTCCGAGTGCGCCAAACTCCTCTTCTCCCTCTGCTTGACCAGCGTCCTCATCCGTTGTTGCTGTTGATCGGGCGAAGAGGAGGCGGTCGAGGATCGTGAAGAGTTCTTTGGGCTCCCGTTTGCCCCAATTGATGAGGACCCTTCTGGCCAAGTTATCCGCCCTTCTTTCTTCTTCGTCTTCTTGTTCTTGTTCTTGTGAGTGATGGTGGTAGTTTTCATATAGTCTGATGAGCTCTCTGACCAGACTACTCTGGTGTTCTTGTTGTTTGGCTGTGATGAGTTCTTGAGTGATGAGTTCTACGATTTCTTCTTCTGCCGGTCTTTCTAGTCTCAGTTGTGCTAGTCTTCCTTGCGTGAGTAGGATCTCGTTCCATGTCTTGTGGTTCTCTTCCTGTTCGATCAGTCCTGGTTGTTTGTTCCTGAGTATTGTGAGTATCTTTGAGTTGTTGTTGTTGTTGCTTGTTTGTTGTTGTTGTTGTTCGTTGTTGTTGTTGTTGTTGTTGATGGTGGTAGTTGGTTGTTGTTGTTGTTGTTCCATTGTTTTTTTTTTTTTTTTTTTTTTTTTTTTTTGGTTTTGATTCCAAGTTGGCTTACTCCAATATTCTTTTTTTTTTTTTCTCCAGCACCGCCCAACTAATGGTAATACCCCCCCAGACTCCAGACTCCAGTGCCCACCACGGCCCACTCGACCGTCTCTCTCCGCAACCATGCATCTCTACAACCTCACCATCCTACCACCCTCAGCGATCACCTGTGCGACTGTCGGCTCATTCAGCGGGACGCGCCAGCAAGACATCTGCGTCAGTCGAGGGGGCAGTCGGCTAGAGCTACTCAGGCCGGATCCGACGACCGGCAAGCTGAGCTCGGTGGTCAGCACTGAAGTCTTCGGGACCATCCGCGCACTCAGCTCGTTCAGACTCACCGGCGGGACCAAGGACTACATCATCCTCGCCTCCGACTCCGGCAGGATCGTCGTCCTCGAATTCGACCCCTCCTCAAACACCTTCATCAAACTACATCAGGAGACCTATGGCAAATCCGGCGCTAGGAGAGTCGTCCCCGGCCAATATCTGGCCACCGATCCAAAGGGAAGAGCCGTCATGATCGCCGCTATCGAGAAGAGCAAGCTGGTCTACATCCTCAACCGAGGTCATTCATATTCTTTCTTCCCCATCACCATTATCATTTTTGTTGACTGGTCGATCGATCAACTCTTCTTCAGACTCGGCTGCCAATCTCACCATCTCCTCTCCCCTCGAAGCCCACAAATCTAACGCGATCATCCACCATATCGTCGGTGTCGACGTTGGCTTCGAAAACCCCCTCTTTGCGGCCCTGGAGGTGGACTATGGGGAGGCCGATCAAGACCCCACGGGAGAGGCTTTCAATCTCGCCGAGAAGGTATGCTCAAAGAAACCTCAGTTTTGTTTAACTAAATACCCTTCCCTTTACAAAAAAAAACACTGAGATTGTGTATGTATCTTGTCAACAGATGTTAACCTATTACGAACTAGATCTAGGCCTAAACCATGTAGTCAGGAAATGGTCCGAGCCGACAGAGCCGCGGGCGAACATGTTACTCCAAGTCCCGGGGGGGCAGAGCACCAGTCATCCCGACAAGTTCGACGGGCCCTCCGGGGTCATCGTCTGTTGCGAAGACCTGCTCATCTACAAACACCAGAACGCCAAGGAACATCGGGTGCCCATACCTAAACGAGACTCCCCCTTCAGCGACCCGGCCCAGGGCGTCATCATCGTTGCTGCTGTCATGCACAAGATGAGAGTCCGTCTTTTCTTTTCTTTACTTTTCATTTTTGTTTTTCTGGAAAAGTAGATTGATTGCTTTTCTTTTTTTTTTTTTTTTTGGCGACGAAAAATTCAGGGGGCGTTCTTTTTCCTCATCCAATCCGAGGAAGGCGACCTATTCAAAGTGACGATCGACCACGAGGACGAAGAAGTGCAGGCCCTGAAGATCAAGTACTTCGACACCGTGCCCGTGGCATCGAACCTGAGCATCCTCAAGTCCGGCTTCTTATTTGTGGCTGCCGAGACCGGAAACCAGTCAGTGAACATATTCCCTCGATCCCATTCGACCATCTGACTTTGTCTACTTGATATACGTGTATAGTGCATTGTATCAATTTGAGAAGTTGGGAGATGATGATGAAGAGACCGAGTTCTCGTCGGCGGATTATCCCGAGTTTGGGGCCAGTGGGGCGGCGCTACCGGGGGCGTTTTTCAAGCCACGGGGGCTGGAGAACCTCGTCCTTTCGGACGAGTTGGAGTCGCTAGCGCCGATCACGGGAGCGAAGACGGGACATCTTCTGAACAGCGACTCGGCGCAGACGGTGGCGAGTTGCGGGACGGGCTCGCGGAGCTCGTTGCGGATGTTACGGCACGGCCTGGAGGTCTCTGAGATCGTCACCTCGGAGCTGCCGGGGCCGCCGACGAATGTCTGGACGACAAGGCTGGCGGAGACGGACGAGTTCGATCGCTACATCATCCTCGGCTTCTTGAACGCCACCCTGGTCCTGGCCATTGGTGAGACGATCGTCGAGGTGGCGGATACCGGCCTCCTCACTAACTCGCCCACGATCGCCATCCAACAGCTCGACAGCAACGGGCTCCTCCAGATCCATCCCACCGGAATCCGGCACATCCATCTCGACGGCGCAATCACCGAGTGGAAAGTCCCGCCCGGCCGCAAGATCGTCGTCTCCACCTCCAACCGACGCCAAGTGGTGATCGGCTTAAGTGGGGGAGAGCTGATCTACTTCGAGCTCGACTTGGATGGTCAACTCAACGAGTACCAAGAACAGAAAGAGATGGGCGCAACAATCACCAGTCTGTCGTTATCTGAAGTCTCCAAGGGCAGACAACGCACTCCCTTCTTGGCCATAGGACTCGAAAATCTCACCGTACAAATCATCTCCCTCGACCCTAACTCGGTCCTCGAAACTATCTCCCTCCAGGCCCTCACCGCCGTCCCCACTTCTATCTGTATCGCCGAACTCCTGGACTCCTCCATCGATAAAAATAGCGAAACCCTTTTCGTTAATATCGGCCTTGCTAACGGCGTCCTTCTTCGCACCGTTCTGGACTCCGTCAACGGGCAACTAACCGATACAAGAACCCGGTAAATGCTCATTTGACCTTGTTTTCTTAAGGAAAATCGGAATGTTTCTCATTCTTGTTTTTGTGGGTGTTTAAACAATTGTGTAGGTTTTTAGGGTCCAGACCGGTGAAGCTTCTGCGAGTGAAGGTGGACAACAAGACCAGTGTCATTGGGCTTTCGTCGCGGACCTGGCTGAACTACACGTTCCAGAACCTGCTCCACTTCGATCCACTGATCTACGATGCGATCGACAACGTGCACAGCTTCAGTGCCGAGCTGTGTCCCGAAGGCTTGATTGGGATCGTCGGCAGCTCTCTCCGGTCAGTCTCTCTCTCTCTCTCTCTTTCTCCCCACGTAAACTTATATATGCACTTACTTGAAGACTGATTGTTTTTTGGGTTGGATCGGATCGGGATTGAGAAAGGATTTTCACGATCCCAAAGTTGGGCGTCAAAGTCAAGCAAGACGCCATGCCGCTCGCTTATACCCCAAGGAAGATGTTGCTTGACCCGTCGAGCAAGCATGTGATCACGATCGAGTCGGAGCATCGTACGATGGCTCCCGGCGTCAAAGCCGAACGGCTCGCGCTTCATGTACCATTCCCTTCCCCATTCTCCATCCTTTTTCTTTCTTTGAGGGGAGAGAGGCTGATGAGTGCTTTTTTTGTGGTCTTTTGTAGAAAGCGCAAGGACTACAGGTGGATGAGTCGCTGCTCGATCAAGACGCTTTCGGCGTTCCCAGAGCCGAGGCTGGCAAATGGGCCTCATGTATTCGAATCAGCGACCCTATTGAGGTACATACACCCACACACATGACCATATGTCCCTCTCTTTCATTCCACCGATCTTCCACACCGGAAAGAATGTTTTAACTAATTATTTTTGATGATCCAAACAACAATAATTTTTTGAAAAGAAAACGACGTTAGTGCGAGAGGATTTGGGAGATAACGAGGCAGCGACGTCGCTGGCCATCGTCAGCTTTGCCTTCGCCGCCCACCATCCCGCCACCGAGCCCCTGCTGGTCGTCGGATCGGCGAAGGACGCGTTCGTCCAGCCTCGGACGTGCAAGAACGGCTTCCTGCGCGTCTATCGGTTCGTCAATGATGGCAAAGTCATCGAACTCGTCCATAAGGTGACATCCCCCCCTTTCTCTTTCTCTTTCTCCCTCCAAAAAAAAATAAGGTTGTGATTTCGTGCTGAGACGAGATGGGATTGGGATGGAAACCATAACAGACGGAAGTGGATGAGATGCCGAGTGCGTTGGTAGGCTTCCAAGGAAGACTAGCCGCGGGGGTCGGGAAAGCGTTACGGATCTACGACCTGGGCAAGAAGAAGCTGCTCCGGAAGGTGGAGAACAAGAGCTTCGGGAGCGCGATCATCTCGCTTTCGGTCCAAGGCTCGCGGATCCTGGTCGGCGATAGCCAGGACTCGGTCTCCTACGCCGTCTACAAGCCCGCGGAGAACAGGCTCATCGTCTTTGCCGACGACGTCGTGCCCAGATGGACCACCTGTGCTACCATGGTCGATTATGATACCGTGTTCGTCGTCTTATCGTCCCCTCCCCCCTTGCTCGTCTCTTCTTCGCTGATCCTCTTTTTCTTTCTTTTCTTCTGTTCTCTAGCGCTGGGGGAGATCGGTTCGGAAACCTCTGGGTCTCCAGGTTGCCCAAGAACGTCTCGGATGAAGTCGATGAAGATCCTACAGGTACGTTCATCCAACCTCCTTCCATCCACCTTTATCCTTTTTTCAATCCAGAAACAGAAAGTCATTGATCCCGATTCCGCCTATGATCCTAAAATTGTCTATGGTTTTGGAATGATTTTGAAATTTATAACGAATAGGAGCAGGCATCATGCACGAAAAGGGATACCTGATGGGCGCGCCCCACAAGCTCAAGAACCTCGTCCATTTCCATCTCAACGACATCCCCACCTCGATCCAGAAAACCTCGCTGGTCCCCGGCGGCAGAGAGGTGCTGTTGTACACCGGTGTCCAGGGCTCCATCGGCATCCTCGTCCCGTTCATCTCCAAAGAAGACGTCGATTTCTTTCAGACTTTGGAGATGCAGTGCGTCTCCTACTTTCTTTTTTTTTTTTTTTTGCTTGTTGGGTTGGGTTGTTGATGTGTTTCTTTCCCCGGGGGTCGCCCGACGCATTTAGTATGCGCAATGAGATGCCTAGTTTGGTCGGGCGAGATCATCTGGCTTATCGAGGATACTACGTAAATATCTCTCTTTTCGTTTCTCCATCTCTCTCTCTCTCTCTCTCTGTTATCTTTGAAAAAACACTAAAACTCTTCTTTTTGTTTCTAGTTTCCGGTCAAGAACTGTGTGGATGGAGATCTGTGTGAATCGTTTGCATTGCTGCCGAGTGCTAAACAGCTCCAGGTCGCCTCGGAACTGGACCGCAGTGTCTCTGACGTGCTGAAAAAAATCGAGGCCGTTCGTGTCTCTAGCGGTTATTAAAACTTACCAAAAGAAAACAAAAAATGTGAAATGTATAATTAAACCTTCAATCAATCACACTCAAATTGCACTTGCCCTCTCCCTTGTCTTTTCTGTTTCTTGGACGCTATGGGGAGGTGAGTCTTGCTTCTTTGGGATGCTTTGGGGGAAAGGGAGGGGGGTGGTTGTGGTGTGCACTGGGGGGAGCAGAAGTGCTTGGTTTATATGCACCTTTGAACACTAGCATTATCAAGGTTAACAGGTTCCCAGACTTGGAATTACTGGCAGTGCAGTGGTCACTTGGCTGCCCCAGTGTCTTGTCTTATTTAGTTCTTTATGGGTGCTAGTTCTCACAAAAAGAAAGTAGCATATATTGGATGACTTCCCGTTGGCATTTACGACCCTCGCAGAATTGGATTTACACCATGAAGGTCTTAATTTTTGGCAAAAAAAAATCTTTCTTCAGAAGCCTTGTTGTAAAGGCCCTCATGTGAGCTAGTTGAGGTTGTGATTAGAGTGTTAATTTAGAACTGAGAGAGCTCTAAAAAAAACTCTAAACCCCGACGGGAAGTCCTCCATTGGTGGGATGTGGGCAGGGTCAGATGATCATGACCAGCCAGTCTGGGTTGTCCTTGAAATTGTAGGGCATACTGTAGTTTTGTCCAGTTCCCAGATTTTCTTGCAATCATATTGTTCCTCATGAGTTATTGCTGGGGAAGAATGTTGGATGGACAGAAAGACATTAAACAGTCTCTCCCTCTCTATGATTTGCTGCCCTGATTGTGCTGCACAGTTCCACAAAATCTTTCAATTGAGCCACACTTGAGGCTCCTCAACAATCTTGGAAATCAGCTGGATTTTTCAAGCGGTGCTCTGGCCCCAAATTCAGCGCAATCTTGCTGCAATCCCTCATCCATCCAATTTGAATATTCCTTGTTTTCATTGGAAGATTGCAGACTGTTTCCTCATGAGCTTTGTGAGGAGCCCAGAAGGATCCAGCTGATGGCTGTGCTCTCAAAGGGAAATGGGAACATAGTGGAGGACTTCCTGCCGTGATTTAGAGTGTTTTTTAGACCTCTCAGCTCTAAATTAACACTCTAATCAAAACTTCTGAATAAATATTTTTTTATGCCAAAAATTAAGACCTTCATGGTGTAAATCAAATTCTTCAAGGGTTGTAAATGCTGACAGGAAGTCCTCCAGTGTTTATACAAGACTGGGTCTCATTGACTTTCCGGCATCCTCAAGATAAAACAGCAGGGATTGCATTTCCTTTCTGTGAAAAGAACTCTGCCTCAAAGGCCTCCTTTGCCAGGCCTTCATCCTCATCAAAATTTCTCTTGATGGCTCCCCTCCTTCCTTGATAAATGGTCCAACAAAGAAGATTGATTGGCTGCACATCACTGTCAAGTATATATGCACTGTCTACTCTATAGAGAAAATTGGGACTTCTGCCTCACTACACTTGCCCAAAAGGCAACAGCAATGCTGAAACAGATATGGTATCTGCCATGTATCTGCCATGTATCACTATGTATCTGAGCCCCAATAAAAAAAAACTATCTGACCAATCTGCTTTTATTTGCAAGGAGATTCAAAAAATTTGGTTTTTGGCCATGCAGCTTTGCAGAATTCTCCATGATACACAAAGTGTATCGTATCTGTTACAGCGTTGGCAACAGTGTGGCAGATTTTTTTTGCACCAAAATTGTGTAGTGTTAGAGCAATTTTAGCATATTTTTGCTACACTACTCTGTACTAAGGACCACTAGAAGCGGCTAATAAGTGCATTAGCGCAGCGTAGCAGGCACATTTTGGGGGCCTGCACATGTATTGTTGTTTGAAAAAAGCTTGGACAAAGCAAGCTTTGCCAAGTTCAAAAGTTATGTGCTTCAGAGGCACAGCAGCAGTTTATGCCTGTGTTTTCTGCCATACACAGCTCCGGGTTGATCCACCTGGCTGTGATCTGTCAGGTGTAGCCATTGCCACACCTCTGCCCTCTCCCAAGGACACCAAACTTGACTCGCACTTGCACCACAATTACGATGGTTTATCGATATCACGCCCCTGCAACTAAGGTAGCCACCGTTAAAATGGCTATCCAGGGCCTATCTCTTGATGAAATCTGCCGGCTACTTGGCAGTTTCATTTCTTGTCAATTGTTTGGCCGATGGATTCAGCTTTACGAAGAGACTTGATGTGTCCTTAAGGATCCCAAAACGTATGAAGCCTGTGGCCGCCCAGCTAGTCTCTCCAATGAGGAATGTCAGTTCATGATTTGACTTGTCCAGTCTGAACCCGGCTTGTTTCTCAATGAAGTCCAGGAACGACTGTATGATTCCACTGGTGTCCTCCTCAGTGTTGAGGGGGTCCACCAAAATCTTGTAGAACGACTCTCAATAACCTTGAAAAAACCTGATACCAAGAGCTGTTGCAAATTGCTTTTTGCGAAGTATGTTTTTGTGGAGAACATGGAGTTTTATCCCGCTGATTTCCTTGTTTTTACCAGTGAGTTTGACTTTTTCTTTTTATCTCTCTATCAGCCAACTGAAGAATATGTTGTTGGCTTGTTTTTGCAGATGAGAGTTCCTTCTGCAATAACGATCTCCTCCGATCATACGCTAGTTCAAAGCGAGGGACTCCCGCCGCAAGATTTTTTAAGAACAACAATGCAGCCCAATTGAGTATGCTTCCAGCAATCACAATTGACGGACTTGTTGCCCTCACAAAAACCTTTGAAACCTACACTGGACCAAGGTTCTAGCACTTTCTGGAATACGACTTGGTAAGTCCCAGTGTGGTTTCTCTTCGTGGGTTTAGCTGAAAACATGATGCTCTCCAGTTCCTTCACATGAATTGATACCCCAATAAAAACTCTGTTCTGTTTTGCGGAAATGCCAGTTATCATCGTGGTGAGTGTGTGCAGCAGCTTTGCAATGCTGTGGTTCCCCCATATTGCCCCGAGTTGAATCCAATCGAGCTTGGTTTTGTTGCTATCAAACAACAAATAAGATCATCCTGAATCCTGGATCGTACGGATGATCCAGAATGGGCGGTACATCAAGTCACAGCTGAGATCCTTCAAGATGATTTTTGCTACAAAATTTACAAAAACTGTGGGTACTGTGTCCCACAAAACTAAAGAAAGGCATGTAAATGTTACCTGTTCATCATTTAGAGTCAACCTCGGCTCATTAACTTGTTAGTCAAACAAAGATACTTGTCTGTATAACCTCTGATTGGGATCACAAAGACCCAATGATCAGTCTCAATTATCATTAGCATGCTTATGGTTATTTACAGTCTTAAACAAGAAACTGAACATTTGATGAGATGCAAAATCAGAATGACCACTTGGTCATTTTGGGTTAATATTGAGTATTTCATTGAAACTACAAAAAGTAACTTGTGGTTAAGATTGAGAACTTGTTTGTATGGCTTTTGAAAAATTCAAGCTTGATAATGACTGTACTGGCAAGTTGGGGAGTTAGAGAAAATAAGGGAAAATAAGAGAAAATAAGGGAAAATAAGGGAAAATAAGATAAAATAAGGGAAAAAGAATGAGATTGCGTTAATCAAGACTATCTAGTTGATTGGTATGGTAGGTCTGTGTTAGGCTACAAATTCACTGATGCATTCAGCGTAATCTACAACAACAAAAATGATTTGGGTGAGTGAGAATACAAACAGTGATTGGACTTTACTAATCTATTCAGAAGCTTGATATTTTTCAAATTTCTTCACATTGTCTCTTAATTGAGCAATGTGTATATCAGCTAAGAGCATCTCCACAGGAGTCGCTAATTTCAGGTCGCTATGTTCTCACGATAGCGACCAGAATTCAAGGTTTGAAGACCCAAAGTGCTGAGGCACACACCGGGCATCGTTATGAGGGAGTCGCTATCTGATGATTGGGCGAGGTGGTGATGTGTGGTGTTTGGGTTTCACAGAAGGAACACAGGAGTAGCCTGTGATCCTCCTTGCATCCAGAGTCGCTATCGAGTCTTCAAGTTTGAAGACTGGATAGGGATCGAGGCAGAAAATTGTAAAAAAGTGACCCGGATGGCGACTCCGGTGGGTCATCTTTTTTAAGTTTGGGTCGCTAAATGTGGGATAGCGACCCAATTTAGCGACCCCCGTGGAGATGCTCTAAGCCCCAGCCTTTCATCACATCTTGGGTGATGCTCTTTGATTGGAAAAATCTAGGATTCATTGCCTTGTGTTCAGTGAGAATCCTTGCAATCTTGCTCTTTTCAATAGTTGGGATCTTGATGAATTTGAGATACGCCTCAAGCAAGTTGACTCCTGGATTGACTACGGAAGACCCATTGGAATCAGATTGAGAACTGATCCTGCAAGTACGTGTAAGGACTGCAATTGTCCTTCACTAGATGAGTCGTAGTATGGCACAAAGGGACGGGCAAGGAGCCTAGGAGTTTCTAAGACCAAACACAGGAGCTTTTATTACTGGCTCAGAGAGATGGAAGGGAGAAATTCTCTCAGTACAATCTAGAAAGAGAGGGGAAGGAAAGAAAAACAAGAAGAAAGGAAATTCACACTCACCTGGCTCAGAGAGATGGAAGGGAGCAATTCTCTGCAGAGCCAGGAAGAAGAACTGAAAGAACAAAACTAAAATTGAAATGTGACATGTGAGTGAGAGGTTTGTGAACCCAGCCGGAGGGGGGGTTTACAGTCTCCCCTCCTTATAAAAAAATCGAGAACGGGAAATGGAACAAAACACTGACTTTGATAAAAATTTAAAGTAAAAGATAAAAAAATGGAAAAGAAGAAAGGGTTGGATATTGAGGCAAAATCCGAGTCAAGCGCGTCCCGGGCGACCAGCTATAGCGTCTGCTAGGTCGGCCTTTTCAATCTCGTTTGCGAGGAGTTGCTTGTCAAGATCCTCGAGTGCCGCCACAGCGGCCGGTTCCATACTAGGATAGCAACCTTCGTCGTCGAAGTATGTGTCCCAACGGCCGTCATCCCGTATTGCTGCATCCAGTTGTAGCGCCGAGACTTGGGCTTCAAGAGGTGTGACGTCTGTAACGCCTGCGACGCTTGCGGCACGGGTTGAAGGTTGACCCGCGGGAGGTTGAGTGGGTTTTCCCGGGGTGGGTGATGGGCCGGATGGGCTACTCCAAGCGCGTGGGGCTGAGTAGTCGGCCAGTTTTGTGGGGGCTTGATAGTTAGCCGGGATGTCGACATGGGCTCTATTTAGAGGTCCTGGGCAACCACCGTTCACATTGCCGCAGTGCTTCTTGCAGAAGTGGCAGAGGCCTCGTGAGTCGAGGAAAGAATGTACCCGCCAGATAAATTCGTCCCGGGATAGATTTGGTGATGTATTCGACGGTGGATGGAGCGAGGCTGGTGTTCCGGCAGGGCGTTGCAGTGCAAGGAAGGACGCATTAGCCTGCTTCTCAAACGGGCCATAGGCAAATGGGACCGTCTCGAGGAGCTGTCGTTCGTTGATTCGATCCTGAAAAGCATCTGTCAACCCGTAAACCAAGAATTGTGCTAGTTGTAGGTCCCCGAGTCTTGCACTCGCCACGGCATCGAAGTTGAAGAGGCTTTGCAGCGTGCCTGCTCGCGTACTTTAGTATCGAAGAAAATTTGCACACCATGGATCCATCGCAGGAATGGTTCGGTTTCCTGGAACGGTCCCCGGTAGATTGGGCCGCCTGACGTACGGAACTTCTGCAGGTCAACTCGGCCCGGGGCGGGCTGTACCGGATGGGCATTCGCTTTGTTTTTGATGTTCATCGCTAGGAGGAGGTCTTCTAAGCGGGCGATGCGGGCGGCGTTGGACTGGTGAGCGGAAATGAGAATTTGTCGGTCCGTACGGCGGTCCTCTAGGGCTTGTCGGCGATCCTCAGCGGCTTGTGCCTCGATGATGGCTGCGTGCTGGATCTTGAAGACGGACTTGACGCAGTCCTTCGCTGTCTGCGTGTCCGAGGCGTCCGCTGTCCGAGTCGACCCCGATGTTTCCTGAGTCGGGGTCGTTTCGTCAGACATTTTGGTTGGATCGTGTGGAAGAAGGGCAGTTGAGATAGCTTGAAGTTGTTTGGTGCGGCGGTTTTTGGCGTTCCCGGCTCGAATGATGGCTTCAGGGTCCGTTAGCGGGAAGGAGTTTGTTGGGGCCGGTGTTGTTCCTTGTGGTCATGGGATTGACCGGGATAAGCAGATAAAGGCGAGGAGGTAGTCAGTAAAAGTAAGAAGGAAGTAGTCGACGAGGTAAGGGGCAGTCAAGTCGTCGAAAGGGGTTCAGTGGGTAGTGCAATCAAGTGAGGTCAGTCGCGTCAGTTCTGTAAGTCAGT